GTTTAGCTTCTTTTTACTTAAGGGATTTCATAATCTCCCCCTCTTAAATAACTGATGTCCACATCCGTATCTTTTTCCCAAAATTATCCACTAGGTATGGATTCTAGAGGTGGCATCTATAAGTTCAAGTGGCGACTCCCACCATATAACACTTTGTCCTATATAGGGTTCAAGAGGTGGCTCCAATGACTTGGTACTTTATCTTGTATAACACTTAGTTCCCATCTTCCAACTAGTGTATTGCTCTGATATCATTTGGAATAGCCTAAACTCTTAACTATCTAGATATTGTCCGCTTTGACATAAAGGCCTCACGATTTTGTCATTTTGGTGTAACTTCCCTGGAGGTCACTCATCTCAAGATTTCTTCGAGATGAGCACACTTAACTGCAAAATTTCCTAATGAAATTTCAACCGTTATATAAAAAAGCACCTCAATGTTAAGAGTTTAGTTTCTTTTTTATTTAAAGGGATTCACACAATATACATGTATTAAAATGATAAAATTACTATTCAGTAAAAATCGTACAAAGCATAATAACTTTCTTTTTATTGGGTGAAATTATGAAATCAACTAGTTAAAATATCCAAAATAATTAATCAATACTATAACATATAAAAAGCTACTATGTGGAAGTTTACTAAATATGGAGAAAATATAATAAAATTAATTCGAAATAAATCTAATGGTTGAAATCAAAATCTTTAAAAATAGGGGTATGGTAAAAGTTACCTACAACAATCTGAGCAATTTTTAGTAAAACAACGAAACGAATCTACGACCAAAATCAAAATTTTCTCTTTCTCTCTCAATGACTTTTAATACACACAAACATACATACTATTAGTGGCCTAGCACCGTAGTGCTCCAACACTGCACTACAATGTTGTATGCTAAATCTAGAATTACTGTAGAACAAAGCCTTTAATGCCATGGTCATAACTTATGGTGCCACTGCGCTTATAGGCCAAGCATGGAAATGCTAATAAGCTCATTATCGCAGCACTCTAGTTCAAACAGAAATTCAAATTCTTATTTTAAAATTTATTTTTAAAATATCAAGTTTAGTGTTGTAATTAGGTGATAGTACACTACAGAAAAATCGCTCATTACCGGTAGAATTTTCGGCAGATTTTCTGGCAAATTTTCGACGGATTATTTAGAAATTTTTTTGACAAATTTTGAAGCAGATTTTCTGGTGGATTTTCCGGCGGAAGAATTTCTGACGGGTTTTTTGGCGAATTTTTCGATGGATTTTAAATAATTTTTTAATTAATTATAATTTAATAATTTTTTAATTAATTATTAATTTAATTACATATTTTAATTAATTGATACTTAAATAACTTATTTTGATTATCAATTAAAATAATAACTTTAAATTAATTAGTTTTAATTGTAATATTCTATCGGTTTTAATATAAATAAAAAAATTATCTATTAAACACTTTTGCAGGAACAGTATGGTGGTCGGATTGGCGCGCAAGTAGGGTGCAGAGGTTATGGGTTCAATTCTCAGGGCGGACGGGCACATGATGCAGGCGCGCAAGATGCGAATAGGACGGGCTCCCCTGGGCACGAGATGTAGTGGGCTGCGCAGACGGGAGTGGGCTGGGGTGTGCATATGCGGTATGCAGCGAGCGCGGGGGAGTAGGCTAGGGCGTGTCTGTGGGAAGAAGGCCCGATGGAGCGGAATTATTTATTTAAGAACCGTTTTATTTATTCCGACGGATCTTTTCCGCCGAGAAAAGGTTCCGGCAGTGGCTTGTTTTTCGACGCTCGATTTATCGTCGAAGACGTTTTCGTCGGAAATTTGTCGGAAAATTTCGAAATCAGTCGGAAACTTCAAAATTTTTTGCCGAAAATATGCGACTTTCCTGTAGTGGTAGGTGGTCAGTTCAATCATTTTTTGGTAGGATGGGAGATTGAATGACTAATAAAATGAGTATAAGAAGTTAATTATTAACGTATGTTGGCTATTCATAGAGCTCGAGTGACATTCACAGCTTAATGCCATAAGTCACGTGACATTCAAGTTAGTGGCTAATTGATGCAATTGTTGGGCATTCGTAGGCATCAAATGAACTACAAGAAATTCAGCTTTTTGCTATGAAATAATCCGTCGAAAAATAAGAGGAATCCGTCACAAATCCTAATTTTTCGACAGATTTGCTACGGAATTGATTTCACCATTAAAACCCACGTCGCAAATATTTTGCGGCAGATGTTCGATACAAACTCAGCCATAAATTACGGCGGAATGTCCATCGTACATTGTGACAGAAAATCCGTCGCAAAGCAGCTGCCATTTATGACGGATATTTCCATTGAACAAATGATACTATATCATCATATCAATGTTTGTATAGAAATTCTGCCTCAAATCCGCCTGAAACCTATTGCATAAATAAAAAATAGTTCATGTTATATATTTTTGAGCTTTTCAACAGTACAAGTTCAAATAGTTTAAAAACAATAACCAAATGTGATAATAAAAAGCAATAATAATCCAACGGTAACATTTGCAACTTGTTTTTCGCCACAAATTCGGCACAAAAAATACGACGGTAACTTCTATCGCAAAACCATCACAATTTCAAAGAAAAAAAAATTATGTCGCAAAGTCTTCCCCAAATTGCAGACTTCCTATAGTGATGATAGTCAATAGGGAACATCATAAACTGGGAAATAGTTAGTAGTTGGACAATGGTTGATAATTGGCTCGATTGTTCTATTAAAGAAGGGTTCCTAACTAGGTGACCAATAAAATAGGTGTTAAATGTTGGTAGGAACCATGCATTAGATGTCGATCATTAGTAAAATTGGGTGATTAATTAACAAGGAATTGGGTGGAATTTAACAGTAACGATATTCCTAGAATTGTCAATGGCTTAGTTAGATTGGATCGTTCTGGCTTGCCTTATATTAAGAAGTATCAAGGGATTAAGTGATGTTTTTTTTGTGGGAGTTGGTTTGTTGGGTGTTTAGGTTGGGCTGTGTTGGGGTTTCTGGGTGCTGCGGAGGTTGTTTTGTGTCTGTTGTTATGGTTTCTGGGGTTGCCTCTGGTTGGTTGGTTGGTTGCTCGCCTTGCTGGTTTCTGGGGCTTGATTTTTTAACTGGGCTGGGTGGTGGCTTTTGTTGCCTGGTTTTTCAATTAGTCTATTTGGTGGATGGGAGAATTTTTGTTGATAGTAAGATTTATAAAGTATACCTGAATTTGGTTAACTTTATTTGCTGTTTTTGGAGTTATTTTTTGTTACAGGTTGGGGACAATTGTTTATGGGCTACTGCTGACAGGTAGGAGGTCAAAGGTGAGATGCTGATGTCTCAGATGGTTGGGAGTGTGTCTTGCAAGGTTCTTTCAATTTTGAAGTACAAGATCTTCTGTGAAATCAAGGTACTCTTTATTGTTTTCTTTTTTTGGTTTTTCTTTTTGCTTCTCCATTTTTGCAGGAAGATGGTGCTGAACGTCTATTTGATGATCTTCCTTTTTTGGGTGGCGTATGCTTACAACCCTAGTAGTTTGTTTTGCATCTATTGTACTCTTAGGATGAGGAACCACATGCTAGCAGGTCTTTTTCTTTCCTTTTTGATTGTAGCTCGTTCGAGCAGTAGAGAGCTAGTGGTTCCTTTTAAGGACCATGTAACCGCAATTTTGATATTAACACGTAGGCCCCTTTGAGGGTTTTAATTAAAAAAAAAAAAAAAAACTTTATATATCGAGTTAATGATCCACAGTTAACTTGACATATCACTCTATCGATATATCAACACGCTAATTAAGTAGTTTCTTTTTTTCATTTTAATTTTTATTTAAAATTACATTATAAGTTATTTTTATTTACTATTTATAAAATATATCCCTCTTCTTAAATGATAACCATACCTTTCTAACCCGAGTGCCAAGCTTTGCCTGTACTTGCCCCCACACTCTCCTCTCAAGCCTTCTCCCTCGATCGCTGCTCAAACCTTCGACCACCACCTCCTCCTCCTTTGACTTGCATGAAGGCTTCCTCTTGCTCTCTCTTTCTTTCTCTCAGTCAACCTTTGTTCGCCCCATTTCATTCAGAGTTTCTTCTATTTGTGTGGTTCAAATGGAGTTATCTCCTATGAGGAGTTGCTTACTTTAACATTTGAACATGTTTCATTGCTCATTCGCATGATTTGAACCTACCATACCCTTCTGCATCCACGTGTGGTCAGTTCAGCCCGCTCGGTTTGCCGCTCAAGTACATATTCACTCTGCTTCGCTCAACTGATAAGTTAGAGCAAGTTCAATTCAACCAACCATCTGGACCGATTCTTACAGATGTCTTGTGTTGTATGACAACTATTATTAAATGTCAAATGATGGCTAACATAGAGCATTAAAAGTTGAGTGACAGTGAACAATCATTCATCATTATCTTAATAGAGAGGTGTCTAGATGACTAGAAAGATGAATAAGTACTTGAGGCCTTTATCATAATATACATGAATGATAAACTAACTTAACCCTTCAATTGCATCTACTTTAAACTAATCTCATAACCCTAAAAACTTGAGCTAGAATGAATGAAAGAATATCAACTCAAGTTGTATAATATTGAAATTTTAAATTATATCTCATGTACAACAATAATTTTAAAAATCATTAATGATCGAGAAAAATTTTTTAGTTCCACATAATTTTAATATATGTAATTGACATTGTTCCTACCTTCTATATTATATTGGCCTTATAACCCACCTTATGTCTATAGTGATTTTGAGCCCACAAAATAACAATATTGGATAGATTTCTATCTTTTATTTTTATGGCTTAGAGTTCACTAAGTACTTGCTTGTGATTTTTTTTTAATTGTATTATTGAGCTAATTTACTCGAAAAATCCACACACATATTATATATGTAAGGCTTCAAACTTGATCAACCCTGACTTGATAGCCTACTTTTTCAACCAACAAAAGATAAAATGAGTTGTATTTGTCTCTACTCCTCTATTATTGAAAGAAACACACCAAATCACACATGTAAATATATTCCACAATCTATATAATATTAGTCATAACATCAATTGATATATATATGAGACAATAGAGTTGCTGATGATAGAGTGCTTATTATAGAAGCAGCTAACATAAGCATATAAAGATCTATGTAGCATTGTAAATAACTATATAGTCATGATGAGTGATTGATCTGCATGTTGCAGTCATTATTAGAAGAATCTTCGGCCACCAGAGCCTGCCTCTCGCTGGCAATTGAAGTATGCCGCAGCAACTGGTGAACTGAGCTCGTATTCCTGTGCAAAGGATTGAGTGCTGAAGTTCTCTCTGACTTCTGGACGATACACACATGTCCTTCTTTTCTGTCGTAAGAGTGCAAAGACTATGCGATGAATTCCAATTGCTGGACGAGGGCTCTCATACCTTACCAATTCACGCCCTGCACACATATATGCATGAGTATTAGTCACTATAATACCTATTCAGTTGCTCAAAATATGAACATGTTCAGAGAATATTAATAAATATCTATGGAGTTTATATATCATCATATATATTGATTCATGACGAGAGTTTTAACAAGCCTTTCTTGGATGTGTCCTTTGTTGAGTATATTTAAATTCCATCACAAAAAAAGAGTACAAGGTCGTCTTAAGGTATTAAACTCCTTGCCCTCTTAACCTAATTATGATTAATCTATAAAAAGTGAAGTGATTGTCATAGGCAATGTTTAATAACTATGATATTATGGTGGGCCAAATATCAGCTTCTTTTTTGAATGTTATTCATTTAGAAGGGCTCCATAATGGCCCATATTGCTCCTTGACTCCATAATCTATGAAAGATATTTTTTTTTTCAATTCATCATTGTTTGGAGGAAAAAATATGCTGATAGAAATATGTGATTCTACCAAAATAATGTTAAAATTCTCTAACTTAGAAAATAATATGATTTATTTTTTCATGAACGGTCTTATATATTAATTAGACACTCATAACTCTAATATGAATATAGTATATGGTCAAATGGCTCCACATAGGTAAGAATTGATACACTTTTACTCTCTTTCTTGGATCAACACTTTGAATCATCTTACTTGCATGGCACTTAAAAAGAAAGACTTAAAGTCATAGCCTCTTTCTTTTCTCATCATATAAAGGCCATAAATCTTTTAGATTTCACAACATATGAATCCATCAGAAGGGCTAATCATCTTTTGTTAAAGAGAATTAAAATACACCAATATATGATTTTGAGCTCATAACTTTTGGTTGAAACCAAAAAACGTTGTAAAAAGGCCTTAAAAATAATGGAATTCTAGCATTTTCTTTGATTCTTTCAATAGAAGATAAGAAGAAGTGAGCTTACCATCCTCTAGTAACCTGGAGGATAATTTTTTTTTATAATAAAGGTATGGGTAAATTAAATAATCCTTACTATCTTTAGGATGAGGAATAGAGGAAAAAAGTTTGTATTAGGAATTATATTATGGGGAAAATAATACTAAATAATACTACACTTGGGTCAATATTAGAAAGAACTAGTCCATGAAACTAGAATTTAGATTTGATCTTAGAATGTAGGTTCTCTTACAGGCAAATAAATTGAATTAATTGATATGATGATTCATAGGAAAATAAATATTTTATGCATCCAAGAAATTAAATAAGTTAGAGAGAAGGCCAAGGAGATTGATAGTTTAAGATTTAAACTTTGGTATTCTTGTTGAAGTAGTATTAGACATGGTATAGGTACGATTATAGATAAGAGTTTGAAGGATACTATTATAAAAATTGATAGAATTAGAGAGAATTTTTTTTTCTTTGAAGATTATTATTGATGCTAAGATTATTAATATTATAAGTGCTTATGCACCTCAAGTAGGTTTGGATATGTGTTTAAAATTAAAATTTTGTAATGACTTAGAAGAATTAATTCAAAAGATTCATCTTGAAAAAAGAGTTTTTATTGAAGGAGATTTAAAGGGATGTGTTAGGAGAGAGATATAAAATTTTAAACGTATTCATAATGGCTATGACTTTGGAGTGACTAATGAAGGTGGTAAGACTATATTAAATTTTTCTCTAACTTATGATTTTGTAATTGTTAATACCTTATTTAAAAAAATAGATGATCATCTCACCACTTATAAGAATTGATACGTCATGCAAAAATTATCTTGATCGGGCACGAATCTCGATTCAAAAGCTAGTTGGAAACTTCAAAAATTAATTTTGGGGGCACCCGAACTCCGATTTCAGCGAGCTTACAGTCAAACTGAGCGTCTCGGAAATACGAACACAACGACACCAAGTTCGACCCAATCCGAGCCCAAATGGGTCCGAATCATGGACCCGAAGCGCTGTTGGAAGGTTCAAACCACAATTTGAGTTACCAAACGATCTCCGATTTTAACGAACTTATACTCGAATCTGCTGAAGACCTGACGTCCTGCTTAAGACCCGACGTCCTACTCAAGGCCAGACCATCAACACCCGATCTTCCAAGTGACACTGGGTCTAACACCTGACTCCTTGTCTCCTACCGCCTACGGTCCTTCTGATCTCTGTCGCCTACTACGGTCCATCCGACCTCCATCACCAGACAACGGTCTTTCAGACCCCAATCTCCTACCGACTACGGTCTTTCAGGCCTTCGTCGCCTACTATGGTCCTTCCGACCTCCATCAACAGACAATGGTCTTTCTGACCCCGGTCTCCTGCCGACTACGGTCCTTCCGACCAGACAAACATGTATATGTAATTCCTACCATGTAATACAATCTATATGATGTAGATTTGCTACATCAATCCAAGGCCTTCTCCCAAGGAAGGGCCTCATTTGTAATCGACTGCAAATACTAGTGGATTCATTCAAACTGGGCCAGGCCCCGTGGTTTTTCCCCCTTTTTAGGGGTTTTCCACGTAAAAACTTTGGTGTCTCTTATGAATGCTACACCCTCTTACTTATCTGTTTGTGTGCTGGATCTTCGTACAATGCTAAGACGTTAAACTAAATATTTCTCTACCATCGCGAATACTCCAGGACGCAACAAGAATATATATAGTTAAACTCAAATTGATTATTTTATTATAAAAAAAAATAGTTTAGATTACAAAGATTGTAAAATTATTCTGAGTGAAAGTTTATGTATCCAATATTGCTTATTAATTTTAATTTTAAGATGAAGGGACAAAATATGAAAAATTTAGTAAAACGTTATTCTAAGCTTAGATAAGTACTATAAAAAATACTAACAAAAATATTTTTTTAGAGTAAGATAAGAGATCTTAAGATTTTGTCTGTGCATGAGAAAGTGAATGTTATGTGGAATAAAATAGCTAGTAATATTAAAAATGTTGCAAAGAATGTACTTGGAATTTCAAAAGATAAAATCATAATAATAAAAATAGTTGGTGGTGGAATCAAATGTGTAAGAAAAGATAAAAAATATGAAGCTTTACTATAATAATTGGTTTAAATGTAAAAACTCTTAAAATTGAGAAAGATATAAAGTTGACCGTAAGGAGTCTAAGAAAACAACTACGATGCAAAGAATTTAGCTTTTAATGATTTATATAATATATTAAATATTAAAGAAGGCAAAAGGTATATATATAAGCTAGCCAAACAAAGAGATAAGAGTAGTAAGGATTTAGTTCAAGTTAAGTGCATTAAGGATGAAGATCAAAAAGTGTTTTTTTTAGAAAAGGATATTCAACAAAGATGGATGAGATATTGTGTTAAGCTTTTCAATGAAAATTGTGAGAATACGACTGACTTTGATGACCTTAGCACTCTAATTGAAAATAAATATTTTTATTTTTATTAATGCATTATTAAACTAAAGTTAGAAAGGCTTAAAGAAAATGAAGTGTGGAAAGACTAGCAAATCTAATGATATTCCAATAGAGATGAGAAAATGCTTAGAAGATGAAGGAATTTCTTGGCTTACTAAACTTTTTAATATTATTTTGAAGACTAAAAGATGCCAGATGAGTGGAGAATGAGTGTGTTAATTCTTTTTTTTTTTTAAATAAAGGTGATGCACAAAATTGTGCAAATTATAGAGGAATTAAGTTGATGTGTCATACTTTAAAACTTTAGGAGATAGTTATGGAGCTTAGGTTACAAATGTTTCTCAAAATCAATTTGGATTCATGCCGGGTAGATCTATTATGGAAGTTATTCATTTATTGAGAGGGTTGATGGAGAGGTTTATAGAGACTAAGGAGGATCTACATATGATATTTATTGATTTAGAGAAAGTAAATGATAAAGTTCTAAGAGAAGTGTTATGGATAGTTCTAAAAAAAGAAAAAGGTTTAATAATGCTTATATTCAAGTCATTAGTGATATGTATGCAGAAGTTGTTTCTTGTGTTCAAACTTAAGTTGGTTTGACCATGTTTTTTCCTATTTCAGTTGGATTACATCAAGGATCAGCCTTAAGCCTTTATCTTTTTTGCTTTAGTCATGGATGTTCTCATTATACATTTGCAAGAGGATGTACCTTGGTGTATGCTTTTTTTCTTATGATATTCTTTTTGTTGATAAGACTAGAGAGGGAGTTGAAGGTATACTCGAATTATATATGGAGGTCAATCTTAGAGTTTAAAGGTTTTCGTTTGAGTAGCTAGATCTAAAGCCGAATACATTGAGTGTAATTTTATTAGTAATGTATATAGTGTGGGATTTGTGATATTGAGTGATCAAGACATTAATAAGTGTACTCATTTTAGATATCTTGGGTCTATTATTTAGAGTGATGGTGAAATAGATGGGGGTATTATTAGTAGAACCCAAGGTAGATGGTTGAAGTGGAGGAATTCTTCGGGTTTGTTGTATGATAGAAAAGTACAACTCAATCTTAAGGGAAAATTTTATAAGATGGTGATGAGATTTGCAATGCTTTATGGCGTTGAATGTACGTTGGCCATTAAAAGAGAAGCATAATGTTAAGTTAAGTGTTGCTGAGATGAAGATGCTTAGCTGGATGAGTGGACTTACTCTTAGAGACATGATACGAAACAAGCATATCTAGGAAAAGGTTGGAGTAGTTCCAGTGATAGATAAGATTAGAGAGAGTCACCTTAGTTGGTTTGGTCATGTAAACCCTATTAGGAGAGTAGATGTATTAGATTTGGCCTATGTTAATAAAGGTAGAGGTAGACCTAAAAAGATTTGATTAGAAAATATTATAAATGACATTTCTTTATTAGATTTAAATGAGAGTTTGACTCTTAACAGGACACAATGGAGAAAAAAGATTCATGTAGCCGACCCCACGTAGTGGGATAAAGGCTTGATGTTGCTGTTGTTTTTGTATAAATAGCATCTCATTTGTATTTTTAAAAATTTTTTAATTCCATTATATTATTAGAAAATATCATCCATATCCCATCCTTTTTCTTATTTAATATTAATGTCTCTAAGGGATGTTTATAATCAATTATGGAAGAATCCTTCAATTAGATATAATTTTGGATATAAAATGTTGGCTTCTCACCTGTTCTCTTATTGTTATTATATTTACTAATTGCAATGAAAGCATTATTAAAACTAATTTCCAATTCTTTGAGAAATACAAGCATATAAGGACAGCTTATTAGATTTGAGAACTCTACTTTTATTATCTTACCTAACTATCCTATGAGTAAAATTAACACTACTATGTATGCTGCTTAATTTCCTTCTAAAAAATTACTTATTTCTTACATTGGTGTTCTTATTTATAAAGGTCGTGAAAAAGCCTCCATCTTTGATGATATTCTTTTCCAAAAAAATCTTCCTTAAAATTACTAGTTGGGAGCAAACATTGTTTCTTTCTAGGAGGAAGAATCTGATTAAATAAATCCTTTTAATAATCCAATCTATTCTTCTTCAAGTTGTAAATCTGCATAAGAATATTATTAATAGATTAAAATTTTGACATGACAAATATTTTTAGGACGCTAAGGATCATCGTAGCTAAATTATTTAGTTAGTCTCACCACAGGTTGTGAAAATTAGATTGGACATAAAACCGGAAGAAGGAGATGCTAAGGGTTCAATGGTTAGACCGAGGTTGAACCATATGACGTAATAAATATGAAATTTATTTAAATTAGTTTTTATAATAGAATATATATATATATATATATATACAGAGAGAGAGAGAGAGAGAGAGAGAGAGGTGTAAGTCATACACCAAGATTTTTACGTGAAAACCCCTGAAAAGATAAAAAACCACGGGGTCTGACCCAATTGAAATGAATCCATTAGTGTTTGTTGTTGATTGTAAATGATGTCCTTTGTCGGGGAAAGGTGCTAACTCAATATAGCAAATATGCATTACATGGTTGGGATTGGAAGAATGTCTATTATTGCCTTTTTTTCTTTTCATCTACTACTTTATATAATCTTCAGAGGTATATAAAATTTATTTTTTTTTGTATTAAAACATAAGATTTATAATGAGATCAACTTCATCAAAATTTGGGATGATTTAGCCATTAATCAAGTATCTTTAATTTAAAGGATGAATGGATGGCATATGGATACCTTTTAAAAAAATTAGTTTTATCCACCCATATATTTCACCAATCAAACACCTAATGCATTCAATAGATGATGAAAAATTCAAGTATTTAATTCCAATCATTTGAAATTCTCCATATTTTGAAATTATAATTATTAGAGCCATCCAATAGAAATTTTGATGTATCTCATGAATGCCTAGATAATCTTTAAAACTCTTGAAATTTTGCATTACATTAACTTCAATAATTTTAATGATGATGAATGATTTTTTTTTTTACATTTGAAGGCCATATTATCACATTTTTTCCTCTAAAAAGGAGAAAAAGTTCACCCTATACTTATATGTTTAGACTAATCCATTCAAATAAATAAAGTCATTTATCTTTTCATCATCCATCAAATATTTAAATGATTAGTATTTACAAAAGTAAAAAATTAAAAAATAAAAGGCATGCAATGATTGCTTCAAAAAATATGAAAGATTCTAAAGGATATATGAGGATAAACTATTTTATGTTCTATTTGAACTCAAGATACTAATGAAAACAAAGACTTAGAATATATCTTTCTAAATGCTTTGAACTTACTTTATGATATTCCTTGAACTGATTAGAAAGTAAATTAATTAACTAATAAGCTTGGAAAACGAAAAATAAAAAATTTGCATGTTCATTTATTTTAATCAAGCTACTCACCAAAGCTTGCATCTGTTGTTGCTGGGATATCGGTTACCATCCTACACAGTCAATCAAAAATTTATCAGTGAAGTTAGGTAGGCAATAATGTGAACTAATGCATAAAAAATATCTCCAAATGTATTGAGATTATATATCATTAAGTCATTACACAAAAGGAAAAGAAGGTTTTTATTGTACTTTTGTCAACTTTTGCGATGATTTTAACCGCCACAAAATGGCTAGCTAGCACCGGTTCTAAAACCGCAGCAAAACTGTTGTGCCACTGTCCATTACAAAGATCTTTTGCAGCGGTTTTGCAAACGTTGGGAGACGAAATTAATTCATTTGTAAGATATTCTCATCCTTTTTTTTTGCATATACAGTAATTGACAATGATTAAGAAACAACGTTTGCAAGTCAAATTTGATAATAAAGTTCTCTTAAGCATCTTTATAAGATTCTATGACATAGTTTCAATCATTTTCTATCTCATAGATACTTTTGTCTCAAAAAAATTAAAAAAAAAAATCATGATAAGGACATGGATAAAAGATAAAGTAATCGAATATGGGAATAAGTGTACATACACTTTTTGAATTTTAAGCTTTAGGCACACTTTATCTAAAAAAATATGACAAAAAATATATATATATATTTTTTCACTATTACAATTTTGACTAAAAATATATTAAAGTAATAAACATTATAATTATTTAATTAATTAAATTCTAACAATATTATTTAATTATTTAATTTATTTAAGTTTGGTTGTTCTTCTACTAGTGATATTATTTTCGAGATTGATAAGCTGCCTGAGCAATTGCTTAATCTGGTTAGACGTGATAATCTGGGGCTTTCTTGATGGGTGTGTTTTGGTTCTTTGGATGTTTAGTTTCTGGGTTTTTTTCTTGTTTTTTTTTCCTTTTGCTGGGTTGTCTGGGCGTGATTATGTGGTTCTGCCTTGTTTTCCTTTTCTGGAGTAATTTTTCCGGAGGTGTTTGCATTTGCATTTGGGTGTGGTTTTTCTGCTGGGTCTTTACAGTTTTTTATTTACTTATGGTTAGTATTTACATATTAAATGTGCTCTGTCTTTTTTTTCTCCCCTTGGGTCACTAGCATTGCACAGGAGGCTTTGAATTTTAATTTCCTTAATGTACCTTGGTTCCTGGACATTTTTTTGGTCTGCTGTTTTGATTGAAAAACCTGGAAATCCTATAATCCTGCAGGTAGTTTTTTGGGATCTAATGATGGTTTTTCCTTTTACTGATTATGCTTATTCTGTGCTATATAAATGCAGGAAGTTATTTACTTCTCTTCGTAAAAGTTGTACGGTTGCCAAGGTTAGTTTAATTTGCTTATTAGTCTTTATTGAAAATTATTACTGGTTTTTTGGCAGGAAGAATGAGCATAATGAGATCATCAGTTGCTTCCTTTTTTGAGCTCTGTTTACTCACAGACCTAGGTTTTTGTGGCATTATTTTTGTAACTGTAGAAAACGGAACAACCGGCTCATAGGTTTTTATTTTACTTTTTTACTTGTAGCTCTTTTGAGCAGTAGGGAGCTGGAGGTTTCTTTTAAGGACCTTGTAACCGTTTTTTGAATATTAACACGTAGGCCCCATGAGTGGGTTTTAATTAAAAAAAAAAATAAATTCTAACAATATATGACTAAACAATTATCTTTATTCATAATTATTTTAATCACATTAAAGTGGTTATCTTAATCACATTTTTTATAAACATAATTAACATATTAAAAAAAATATGATCATAACTCTATTCTTTTGCTTGTTAGAAAATATTAGGAGTTTAGTTTACCAGTGCAAGTACTCCTTCAACGTTGGATTGCTAGGGTTTGGTGCATCCAGATCCACCATTACCTGCATATCACAACGTAAAAGAGACATTCTTCTGTTATCAAAGAGATTTAATACACACAGAGATCAACAACATAAAGAGAGCAGTAACAGTAATATTAATAATCATGATACTAGTGTGTAGAAAACACGCAAGTCATCTCCTCCAACTTCAACTCTAGGGCGATTTGCAACAGTGGAAGGCCTCAAATCACAGCCATTAGAGAATGGCCTGTTGTTGAACAGAACTCTGAACGTCACTGATTGATCAAAGGAACCTACATCTTCTCTTAATGCGTTATTAAACAAAGAAGAATCTCCTGACATATTTTCTTCTTTTTATTTTCTCAGAAGTTGGGGGAAGAAAGAAAAATGGTGAGGAAGGAGAGAAGAGAGCCATCACTTAAATACATGTTCCATGAAGGTTCTTTACATGAAGGACAATTTACTTTCTATGCCTTATCTGTAAACTTTAAAGATAAGAAGGTGTTAGTGGTTAAAGGTCAGATCTTACAGTTCACTTGGTCCGCACAAGTTATTCTCACTCAACTTGTGTGGATTCAGCTCTTCTATGAGTGTGTGAGAGGAATGATAAATATATAACAAAAAGTATTTGTAATAATTCAGAAGCTGAACTACATCCATAAATAATATTCAAGCTTGGGCTATTTCAAAAAAAAAAAAAGAATTACAAGTCCTTAAAGGATCAACGCTGATCAGTACGTAATCCTCAAAAAGTTACAACTACAAGCAAAAAAGATGTAATGAGCCAATGATCCCTACTGAATTACAAAGGGAAATGAGAAAACAAAGAACGGCAAGAAACCGTAGCCCAAAAAATAAGCCCAAACTCATGGCAAAAGTTAGGTACCAAACAAGAGGACATGCAAAAAAAGAAAAAGCTAGAAAAGACTGAGGCTTCGTTTGAGACATCTTTTTTATTACTTCATAAAGCAGTTTTTTAGTATAAAAAATTTAATTTTGTACTAGAAAGCTGCTTTATGAAGCACTAATAAAACCTTCCCAAACAAAGCCTAACTCAAAATAGAACCTGTTGATTAGTAGGACTCCATGTTAAGCCATATGCATCAAAATCTCCAGCTTAGAAGAATCCAACAGCAAAATCCAATGCCACAACAAGCAAACCAAACTAGTCCAGTCCACTTATTCACCAGCAACAACTAACCAAAAACCAACAAATTTCAAAGCCACAAACAACAAGCAAAATTAGTCCAAATCATTTGAGCACCAACAACAGTATACCCAAAACCTGAAAGAGTACCAACAACAATCATCATATATAACCAGAAAACATAATGCAATCAACCTTAAGTGACATAACCCATCAAAAACTGCAACCTAATTAAGAGAAAGAAATAGCACAAATTAAAAACCAATCAAACAACACACAGCCACATCCACTATAACTTCAACCAAAGGGCACCGATCACAACAAAATACCATAGCCATATAGAAAGAAAACAATCCAAAGAAGCTACATATAATTTCCAAACCCGTTGAAAATAATTTATAACCATGACCTAATCCACTTCCAATAAACCATTGAAAAAAATTCCAAATGGGCCATAGAAAGAAGGTAATCCTGCACAAGGAGAAGAAGAAACCAAACACTGAATGCAAAAAGCCAAATACAAAACAAAGTTTCCCAAAGACCAGTAAAGAAAGGCTAGAAACAACAAGTAGAAACCAACCAATCCAACCATATAACACATGAAATCCGCTAGTAATGCCTCAGATTTGTGACGGTTATAACATCCACAAAATCTAAACCCTTCCTTGCCAGTAGAACCGTCGCAAAATGACTTTGCAACAAAACTTTATTATATAAATTTTATGTGTAAAATAGCTAGGAGAAGGCACTTAATTAAATTAATTAAATGAATCCAGTATGAGGTGAAGAGTGGACTGGCCAAGCAAGTGACTAGGGAGAGTGGAGTTGTCAACCAACCATTAAGGAAGGAGTAGTCATGGTGGTTGCAAGTATGGGCTGCTCCCTCTCCCCTTTCCCTCCTCTTTTTTAATTTCAAAATTCTTCTGGGTAACTTGTTTAAATACTTAATTATATGTGAAATAAAGAACATTAGGTGTTTTGTGACTAAATGTTGAAGAAAAAAATCAATGGTTATAGCTTGGTGGCTGGCCAAATTAGGTATGGTTGGGTGATCCTTCTTAGGATCGATCATGACTTAGGTGATTAGTGGGAGTTATCTTGCTTTACATCCTATAATTTTTCTCTTATTTTTTGTACTACTAGTCATTTTGAACTCTAAATTATTTAAATCCAAAATTTTGTTATCTTTCAACCCCATCATTTAATGGCTTTTATGAGAATCATTCAAACTAGGTTAGAACTAACCTAGTGTTAGTTTGCCATTATTTGGTGACTTAAACTTTAAAAATTTACAAAAACACCAAATCTATCTTAGACACCCTAAAATTTGATGTCCATATATTTAATTAGGATTATTATTCACTTAATTTCAAAGTTCTAGAAGCCCTGAATCACTCACAAACTTTACCTAGAAAAGGGGAATCTTAGAATATTCCAAAAATAAATTAGGAAAATTTGTAAATCCTCCACTAAAAATCATCAAATTCTTCATTTCATAACTAGACTTTTAACCTTCAATATGGTTTTTATTTCATGGCATTTGGACTTCTGAAGAGGAAGTTATAAGGCCTAGAACCGAGGGCTCCAAAACCTAGCTGGTTACTAGAATTGTGTTGGCCGACTACCAACACCTTTCCAACCCTAATTCCACTTAAATTTAAACTCCATGAAGTATATATAGCCTTCCTCTCCTAAACATCTTAAGAAAGCACCCCATCCATGAATTGGATTACATCAGTGATCTAAAGCCCACAAAAGCAACATCACTGTGGTTTATAGTTTTAAACTTTCCAAATTGTCATATAACACTTAGGGAACCCTATGATAAGAAAATTCCTAATAGATGTCATCAATATATACATCATAATTTACTTATAAATGAACCAATCAATGACCATATATGGGCTATTGAATGAAATGTGGTTGGATTAATACTTTAAATAAGTCAAATGAAAATCTAGGCAAAAATTACAATCATTTTTTAGATGCTCAAATCCAGTAATTTGAAATTCTAAAGAGTTGGGTGCAAAATTTGGTTGAGATAAAGCATCTAACAAATTATTTTCTATGCCAAGTTTATGTTTAAGAATAAAGAAAAATGATGGAGGTATTCAATAACAACTTGATATTTTTGAAAGTAAATTTAAAACTAAAATATTTTTGAATTTTTATTTAAACTAGAGCACTATGTCGCTGAGCTTGTAAAAAATGTAGCGTTGGGCCTGTAAGCACGTTGATGCTAGAAGTTGTTGCAAAGCATTGAAGGCTTTGTTTTATAGTAATTTGGATTCAGCATATAACACTGCAGCATCTGGTTAGAGTGTTATGTCACTAGGCCATTAAGAATATTTTTATATATATTAAAAAGATATTTCTCTCCCCACTTGCCTCTCTCACCCTTCCACCAGTGCCAGCTTATCGTGGAAGGAAGAAGAAAAAGGGAAACAAAAAAGAGGAGAGAGAAGAGAAAATCTTGGTTTTGGTCACTAGTTTGCTTTACCACTTTTACAAAAATCACTCAAATTATAGTTGGTGATTTTTATCCTATTCTAGTTTTCAATGATTTTGATTTTGACAGTTTGATTTATTCCAATTGATTTTGTTATATTTTATTTGGATTTAGTGAATCTCTAACCTATAAATTTTTATATGTTGTAATACTAATTATTATGGATATTTTAACTTGTTGATTGTGTATTTTTATTGGGTAAAATAAAAGTTATTGTATTTTGTATGATTTACAAAGAATTGAAAGTTTTGTATTTTAATATAAATATGCCGTTAATACAAGTATTGCAAATTAATATAGATATGTGATTAGGTAATAGCTAGTCGTTATTACTTTTAAAATGTTATAATAATAATAATGTGTTAAAATAAGCTAAGGTTGATGATTTACTGATTTTGGCAGGAGACTGACTGACATGTACATGATGGTGGACCAACGAGCTTTTCTTTCAACACTATAGTTTGGTGTTACCTGGCCTCTTATGATTCGTTGATTGGAAGTTATAAGGGGTTATTACTGTGCCGACAAGTAAAGAGTGATAACTCTGATTACAAAGGCAATAATGACTAACTTACGAACTACTAAAAAATACCACTAAAGTCAAAACTCCTTATTTAGTGAGATTGTTGGAATGTATGCTCTGATTTATAATTATTGCACTACTTTCATTATACTATTTTACTATTCTACTTATTATTACTGTTGATTCATAGTTTACTATCTCATTATCACTCAACAGGTAATATATGATTCTAATTTGATACTGATACATAATAGTTTAATATCATGCATGTGTATATGAATTTGATAGTACCGCATTGTTATGGATTTTTTGACAAACTTCATAGATGCTTTAGTTTTAGCAATTGATTTAATGATGATTACTTATTATTTATTATTTTGATATTTGCCAAAAATAAGAAGATTTGATGATGATTAAAAATAAGAAAATTTGTTATAAAAATTGATGTAATTCTAAAAATTCTGATAATTGGAAAATATATAAAGATGCTCGTAAGAAATCTAAGAAAGCAATATGCGATGCAAAAATCTTAGCTTCTAGTGATTTATATATTAGATTAGATACTAATGAGGGAGAAAGATATATGTATAAATTAGCTAAACAAAGAGATAGGAGTAGTAAGGATTTAGTTCAAGTGAAGTGTATTAAGGATGAAAAGCAAAAAAATACTTTCATAGTATATGATATTCAACAAAGGTGGATGAGATATTTTGCTAAACTTTTTAATGAAAATTGTGAAAATAAGATTGACTGTAGTGACCTTAGCACCTTAAATGAAAATAAAGATTTTTGTTTTTATCGGCATATTAGTAAAATCAAATTTAGAGAGGCTTTAAAGAAAATGAAGGGTGGAAAAGCTGTTGGACCTGATGATATTCCAATAGATGTGTGGAAATGCTTAGGAGATGAAGGTATTTCTTAGCTTACTAAACATTATAATACTATTTTTGAAGACTAAAAAGATGTCATATGAGTGGAGAATGAGTGTGTTAATTCCTATTTTTAAGAATAAAGGTGATGCACATGATTATGCGGATTATAGAGGAATTAAGTTAATGGTCATACTTTAAAACTATGGGAGCAAGTTATGAAGCATAAGTTACGGCGTGATACTAATGTTTCTCAAAATCAATTTGGATTCATTACGGGTAGGTCGACTATGGAAGCCATACATTTATTAAGAGGTTTGATGGAG